GATATATCCGATCCAGTGTGTGCTCACTAGAGCATCCGTTGTGCTACTTCCTAACGTGTCTAAGGTGTTGTCCATGAACTGCGGCTCTGCTAGCAGGGGGTATAACCCCACTTCACGAACAACAAGCGATCTGGTACTAGAAACTTGCTGTACGAAGCCTACCTAACCAATCTGCTAAGCTGTTCATTCAGTGTCTGGCCCCAATTAAGCGGGTCAGACTTCTTACCTATTGAAAGTTTGTTTCCTTTGGTTGTATCTTGATAAGCCACTCTACGTTCCAGTATTTTCCCTCGCGTATATATCGTAGGGAAAGTGATCAATTCAACGACAACATACTACGTGCCTTCTGCTACAGTAGGAACTGTGCTGTGTGCACCCGTCTCACTCAGAACAAACAAGCGCATACGTATAACCCTACTTACTGTACGACGAATAACTGACTTACGAAGCCCTAAAACCTAACCCCTAAACCCTACGAACCCCCTCAAACTACACTACTTGAGTATTGTGCTGCTCTCGCACACATGTTAAGCCAAGCGGCTTATTTGACAACCCCAAACTGTAACTCTTCTCCTCTGCACAGTGCACTATGTATATGGTACACTATGTATGAGTATATTGTAGGAATCACCGAGCTACTGTTAAGTGGCTATACACGCACACGCACACTCCACACAGACTAAGCGACCATATGCCTATAACTCTGCTGTGCCAAGGACATGCCTGACACACTACTTCTACGTTGAGCAGTCACTGTATGCACACACTCCACACAGACTAAGCGACCATATGCCTACAGTGGCTGTATGCACACACTCCACACAGACTAAGCGACCATATGCCTATAACTCTGCTGTGCAAGGGACACACCTAACAAGCCCTTTCTGCTCTGATCTTGTGCACGTCTTAGGAGATGCGGCCAACATCGAGGCAGCCACCTCACATGGAGCGGCACAAGTGTGCAAGAACATCATGGTCAAGTACTCGGCCAATTCCCTGATACAACGCAACTGTTACATGGTGTTCAGGTATGCATTTGGCTCTGAGCTAAGAGGGTTTTTTCTTGTGTGTGTGTGTGTGTGTGTGTGTGTGTGTGTGTCCTTGCGTGATCATGGTTTCAGTGCTGCGGGTTTAATTTTTGAGCGAATCAATATACATGTGTGTGTTAATATTATGAAACCTTACAAAGCATGTTGGACTGAATGTGTGGACCTCTCCAATAGGCGTGTGCGTGTGTGTGTGTGTGTGTGTGTGCACGTGTGTAAGTGGGTGGGTGTTTGAGTGCGTGTTTGTGTGGGTGCCTGTATTCGTGTGCCCCTGTGCATTTGTGTGCATATATACAGATTTACCAATACGATACGTATATGAACATCCAATATCTACCCATATTTTTATATATACCGATTAGGTATTGTGTTTGTAAATCGGTTTTACAGACTTCTATTATTTTGTCTATGTCATCTGTACATAAACATCTGGATGAATGTTCAACTGTAACGTCAGCCGCCTCTCTCTATGCTGATATTAATATTTGTGATGTTAAGTACGCCACAAGGCAGTATGGTTAGATCGCCTCCCGCGTGTACTCGTGTTGAAGAGATTTGAAAGTACAACTCTGTATCCTGATATATATACACCAACCATTTATGTGTCCGCAGACAAACCTATAGTCCTGGTCATACGTCTTGAACACATGCAAATTAAATCACACGAATGCTCTGCAGATCTCTGACCTTCAACCGAGCCGACAACCAGAGGTATATAGTGCAACAGCTGGACGTGGTGCCCTTAGTGTGCCGGTCTATGACCCGTTTTGCTGAGAATACCAGTTTGCAGGTGAGGGTTTGATGCGTGTGTTATATGTATACCTGAACACAGCGTTGGTCTTTATTCGCCCTACTCCTGTCCTTGTACCCATACCCCGCACCCGGATATCCGATTCCGGACTGCAATGTGCTATGATTTGGAGACAGCGTAGTTTTGGTAATCCTTTGGTGTGGGCTGTTGTATTCAGTTGAAAGCTGTACTCCGATCGATGTTGCCGTACTGACTTATCGCTCCGTTCATTCTCGATGGCCGCAGGCGTCGGCGTTTATGTTTATACAGAATATCACCTGGTTGGTGGAGGAGAACCGCCAGATTGTGGAGTTAGAGGGGGGCATAGCGCTCATCCTCACTGCAATGAAGGTGGGTGATGCACGAAATCCCTTAGCAGCACCAGAACGTGCAGCAACACGTGCTATATTGCTTTTCAGATTCCTATTTCTAACATATTGTTGATGTTGTGCTGAGGGGGTCTTACTCAGGCCTAAACCTCAGAAACTTTGTGACATAGGGTGCGTTAATAGATCCATGCCATGAAGTGCAATCTACAATACCAAGAGCCGCATACACCTAGTCTCCACCTGAGCATTTGACCAATCAACTCTAATTCTCGTTCTGGATAAATTCAGAACAAACCAGAGAGTCTGGAGATACAGAAGTGGGGCTGTGGGGCATTGCAGAATCTGGCCTGCAACATCGAATGCACCGTCAAGTTGATACGGACGGGAGTGCTCGAGGTAGTGCTGAAGGCTATGACCGCTTTCCCACGGGATTGTATAGTGCAGGTGTGTGGTGCGTGTTGTTTCTGTATTGATATCACGTACACGCTCAATGGGCAGTAAATGTGGGGGACGGGTATATATAATGAATCTGTGTATAGGGTTTATCGTATGTACAGTGGATATCTACACAGTATTATGTGTGTTGCTTCTTATCTGTAGAGAAATGATATGTTCTCATTGACATGCACAGGCGAACAAACTGTGACAAAGTCACGCAGACACATGTACACACGTGTACACTATTCATCAAATCCGTTCGTGTTCACCGTACAAACATGCACATGTACACTGTAACTGTAATTAACGTATCGCTCACAGCCAATTAAAGTATGTGTCCGCATTTAATGGAAAAGGTATATGTATCTTGTTTATGAGTACTCGCTACTATATGTATACGCCATTCCTGATAGTACCATTCAATATAAAAGATGCACACCATCCCATATACACTGTCTGTAGTTTCTGTTGTACTTCTTGATCGCCGCTGAACGGCATTGAATCTCGGCACAATGCTACAACGGCGCACCACGGCTCTATTGCTTTGTTCAAGGCATTCACCAATATCGCCTTATCCACCTACCCGCTTTCTCAACGATCTCGTGAATATAGCATTGCTGAGCACATGCTTAATCTGGCAGCTGATCTTTCAATCCTTTTGATCTATTTACAGAATTATGGGTTGGGAGTGATGCGGAATCTCTCATTCATGAAAGACCATCGCCTGGAAGTGGCTAAGACGGGGGCTATCGGTTTGGCCTTGAGAGCCATGCGAAACCACCCCTCAAGCCTAGAGGTACGTAACTATTTCGAGTTACTGTGAGGCTGTTGTGGTGGTTTGTATACGTCTATGGAACGTCTGCCTGTGTATGTGCTTCTTTCTTCAAAGGCATTTATGGGATTGATGCAAATCGTCTGTTGTTACCCGTCTGTTACCCACTATCATTCTATTTATATGAACCAATCAGGTACAATCATCCGCCTGCTCCTTCATCTTCAATGTTATCATTGAAGTGGATGCCAATCGCCTTCTGCTACTACAAAGTCCGGAGGCGTTGGATCTCTTCTTTGACTCCATGGCCCATCATTCGGACGACACTCGCTTTGTGGAGAAGTGCAACTACTTACTCGATCAGCTCGCATCTGGTATGATGCAATCACGGACTATGTGCAGATACATTTAGGAGTTTTTATGCATGAAACAAACGTATAAGTGTACACATACCATTTACCACAAACGTATCAGTCCACACGTTGTCAGGTTTATTAGGCGCCATTCATAAAACTAGTGCGGTCGGCGTGTACCGCTACTTATTTGATCATACGTAGGTGTAGTCGATTGGTAGGTCTCCATGTTGATTGGTTGTGTGTCTGCTATCCTTTCACATGATATTCGTTTCAGAGGAAATGAGCTGGTCAGTCTGTGGCAAAGTTCGTGCAACGGTCACTTCGATGTCCAAGAAAGTGAATGAATTGATTGATCAATGCTGTAGCTGAACGTTTCTTTCTTCAGTTAACAAAGGAAATACAAAAAAATCAGCTCGACCTTGTCACTCCGTTCTTAAATCAGAGTGTTAACCTGTGCTTGTCCTAGCTACCAGCAAACACGCCCATTGAACTAAGTGCTGCACTCCCCTGTACAACAGGCAATCCACACTCGTGCTATGTGGCCCCAGAGTTAAGTGTCGAACCGTATTCGCTACTGGAATTGGCCGCACGGCAACTGGCGAGAGAGCGTAAAACTATGGCTGGCATTGTAAGTCTAGCTATACTGTACAAATCACATCAGCCTTGTGAATGTAGGTCTGTCTGCATTTCTAAGGACCACAACAGTACACATTGATCGGTTATATCGGGTCAAATCGAGCCTTGGCGGTCTCGATGACCACAGAGTAATCATTGGGAGAGCGCTTCAATAGTTCTCTACGGGTAGTATATAACAGCTATGTGAGTGTCTAAGTGCTGTCTGTGCGAAAATCCAGATACATGCGCAAATGTCGTTCTATTGCTCGCATACAGCTCCACTTAAAGCGCTAATCGGATGTCCAACAGAGTATCTGTTGTAGGGTTAGGGTTTGTTCATATGTACTACGTGTGCGTGTGGTGTACTTTTTTAAGCGTAGTTGACCGGAATACCTATCGAATCGCAATACTTTGTTGATTATCTGTAGAGCTTGAAAATTCGGTGATGAGCATTTCACTCATACATTGCACTGTGCCTGTCTGCAGGCTGTTGGATTCCTTCCGAGTGTATTTAAGATGGTGGAGAGCGCGAAAGAATGTCCAGGTAAGATTATTGAAATGGAAAGGTTTATTCTTGGTCAGTATTTCGTTCAGTAAGTAGCATGGGCTTCCGTGTTTTCTCAATGCCTTCGCACTGACGTTTTGCAATACAAAAAACAAACAAAATCGCCACCTACGGATCAATCTTTCTACTAGTCTGTAGTTGCGGGTAGACACCATATAGTGGCCCACTCGTCCCCACATGTTGTTTAAGTCTTATGTACACTACCTTCTCAGAGTGCACTCAGCAGTATGTGAGCAACTATGCTGTGGCCATCAAGTCCAAGCCTGTCTGCTGGACTTTGACGCGTGTTTGCAGTCGTCGCTGCGTGGGGACTATGACGCGGCGATGTGTGGTATGTTTGTGCACTTGCACGTACGTATGACAGTATTTAGGGCTTAGGGTTGTATAGAGTGTTAACGTACGCGGCGCACTTGAGCTAAGTCTCAACATTCTTAGTTTGATTACTTCTTAGTTTAATTCTAGGACTCTCTATGCGCTTATGAAGGAAGCATAGCTTCCGAGTCGGGGCTAGTGCGCATTTCCCGAAACCCTAGTAACAGTACATGTGAGTTCCAATGCATAGGCTCTTTCTTTGCGAGTGGTGTCCTGTGCTATATTGTATGTAAAGTCTGCGATATTGTCTACCGATGTTCTGCCCACCTGGTATATACACATGATGCTGTTTTGTGGATTTCCGGAATTCCTCATCCTTGGCTGATTGAGTTGAGCGTCAGCTGTCACGAACCCAAGTACAACAGTATGACATCTCTCGGTTCTGGGCTCTTGCGCAGTTGTTGTGTATCGGAACTTTGACAAGTTCCTCAGCACAACTGCATGTTGTGTTCTCGCTTTGTAGTCAATTCGTTTCTTATTTTTTTCGGCATTCAAGCACAACTTGCGCCGCGTCGGTGGTCTCGTGCCGTTCATTTTTCTTGTGTAAGAATGGCTCATCGTGCCTTTGCTTTAGTCGGGATCGTGCTCCGGCTGAACCCAGCCGCAGCCTTCAAGTGGTGTATCTATTTTGCTCCACCGTTGATGAGTAGGGAACACTAGTCTGATTTAATTCTACGGGTAGTCGTGAGGCGATCGTTTTCAGCCCCTGCCCATAGCTGTGTGATGTTTACTTTCTTTTGGTATCCGTTTCACACCACAGGAACAGTACGGTGACATCGCATCGTTACAAGTGGCTCAGGATGGCGCGGTTGCTGGTCTCTTGGCATAAGTAGACATGCACAAAGATTTCTACAAAATAATGCGAAACACGAGGAGGAGTGAAAATGTAAAGCACATGCAATGATACCCCCTGAGATCAAATGGGGCAGACAATATGCAGCATATGTAACAATAGTACACAAGCAAGCCAGTGAGCAACAGAGACACTACAAGCCGTGCTTATCTGTGGGGAAAGTTTAGAGCCTATTCACAATCATTCAGGTTCTAGTAGACGTTCGTTGAGACGGTTACCATCTACACTCTGCATAAATTGGTGCTAGTTAGGTGAGATTTCCCTTGTAAATCCTCGGTGATGGCTTCACAAGCACGAATAGGGCTTCTTCAGTGACATTATGTCTCTTCTAATATAGTAAATAATAATAAAAATGACTTGTACAGAACTATTAGAGGTGAAAGTGGGAACGTGTATGAATTGCAAAGCATTCTTTGAATACAACGAGAATACTGAAATAGCCAACATCCTCTATTCCTCATATATGTAAATATAACGAGAATACTGAAATAGTCAACATCTTTCCATTCTTACTACATGGCCCTTTTTAGCAGGTATATGGGTAATTGTATGACACTGATACGTCAAATCAAACAGTACAGCAAATATCCATCACTGGATAGTATGTAGGGCAGTTTGTTTGTGCAAGGTGAATGGTCTTAAAGGTGACACACTTGTGTGTCCTGCTGCACTCTTGGCCTGTGGGAGATGCTACCGTTCACTAATTAGAATGCTGCTTTTCTTGCTTAGATATCTAAACCAGAAGTTTGTATTTCAGATTTAAGCTAGGCAGAGTAAAGCCTTGGTTACTGCAAAAGATTTCTAATTGTAGTTGCTCTAACGTAACCGCGACGAGCTCTGAAACACTACCATCCTTAAATGATAAAAAATAGTTCGCACATATTTGCTGAGATTAAAAACGTGGTGAAATGCATTCGCAACAGAGAAGCGCATTCATTCGGCAATATTTCGAAACTTGCACAAGATTGTGCGAATTCCTATGCAAGGCCAGAACAAAAAGAATAGTGCTCCTGGTTTGCCTTTGTAAGTCGCCGATCTATCTATACGTTGAGTAGCTCGTGTTGTCTACATACCACCAGACGCAAATCGATTGGTACCTATATTTAAGTGTTAACTTTCTAGTAATCTTCTCTCCCTATGTGGCAAAAGTAGCGCACCACTACGGAGCTTGCGCGCAAATGATGAGATTTCAACCAAGAGTTTGACGCAACCATAGTCGACATACGCGGTCGTATATTCCAACCCTGATCCAGTTAGGTTCGAAATTAAATATAGACACAAATATGTCGTGTAAGTATACCTTTATGGTTTGTTTCTTCAAACCTACCGTCATCTCATGGAAGAAAGGTCAACAATTCATATCAGGATGTTATCGAATGGTTGCGCTGCAAGATTGCAGACATTGTAGTGTAGCCTGTGGGTCCACCGAGCTGTCACCTATCGCATATGCATCCTCATTTGACAGCATTCGATGCAAATCACAATCTCGATGTCCCTTACTTTAAGAGCCAAAACTCCTCGAGGGTAACCGATACACAGCGTTTCTTTATGATCTTAAATATTTCAATGTAGCATTCTATATTACAGTAAGTTGATCGAAAATAGGAGCGGTGATGTCTCGGCTATTTTGATTAATTTATTGACAATTAGTCCATAGTGAACCGATTGATGCAATAATCAATCTTGCGTTGCTATATTCAGGTGAACTACCAAAATGGGCTGTCACGGAGAAAAAAATTCTCACGATCTTATTATTGGAAAACGTGTAACCTCATTTGATGATGTCACAAATAATTGCTTTTACCTCAATTTCAGAATGAATGAATTTCTTCGATTGGCCAAAATTGTATCTAGATGTGAGCAACGATTTTAACTCATAGTCGTTTCATAAGCGAACTCTTCTCTCACTGACCTTGCCCACTATTCTCCAGTATTGAAATCCGATTCACGAAGGTGCATCTTGTCTATCGCAACCATTCATTCGCTCTATTCTCTGCAGAAGAAGAAAATGCATCAGAACATGATCATTGCGCAACAACTATTCGAAAAATGTTTGTTCTGTGATAAACCTTCTGGAAACCCCCAAAAAAAGTGTATACTACAAGATCGGCTCCAATGCTGTGCGATCAACATTGTTTATTTGTTCCTCAGCGCACCGTATCGTGCTGTATGGTCGGAACGTTTTATCGTGCCCCTGTTTCAAATAGTTTTTATGTTTTGGATAACCATAGGTATATGATGTTGCCTTCTGTATTTGAATTGCATACATATATATACTTTGTTTGAAAAGTAAGGTGAATCTGGAGCGCTCGGAACTTTGATGAGCGCTGGCCATTATGACACATGCATGTGAAGTGACGACGTAATATGAAGGCATTGGTAGATTTAGCAATATGGAGAATTTTGATAGCTATGGTCCAGGCAATTTGTTCAATCAATCGTGGCCATACCTTGTACATTTCACTCGTGACGTGGTGAGATTTAAACACTTTCAAAGCTGACGTCGAATCCTGTCATTTACATAGAAGAGTATTATTATTCGACTTTAAGTTAATCCTAAGACATGTTCTTTACCCATGTGACTGTTCAAAGATTTGGAAGAGATGCTCGGACCTATGCTTCTCCTCCCCTGGCTGACATCAGTCATAAGCTGGACGTTTTCTTTAATAACGTCCATGTACGCTGATAATCGGCCACGACTTTTAGTGGGGGGTTCTCAGCGCGACGCTATTTTGAATCTAGTCTGTATACAAGTCTAATTGAACCGAATTTAAAGTTTGCCCTGAGAAACGTTAGGCAAATTTATTCCTATTTTCACGTATAGATAGCCAGCTTTACTTGAAACAAATACCGATTTATTTTCACCAATCTATGTGTAATTTTTAAATTGGGCGACGGTTGTATAGATAGTCATAAGCTAAATTTTTCAACACGGCTCCAAGAATCCCGATTCGTACCAGCTGTTTCAGACCATGTGCCGATATGATGCTACAGTATATAAGTCAGTATTTCTAATAGTTCCTAATACATAAGGGCAACCCGGATTTTATGAAACACATTTGTCATTTGCATGTTTCCCTCGAGACGTTTATTACGAAATACCGATCGCGTTTACAACAAATCAGTGTGCCATCCTGACGTGCAGAATTTATCTTAGGATCAGTATCAGCCAGCCAGTATCATTCATCGTCCGCCAATTGATACAGCCATGATATAATGATGGGCTCACAGTACACAGGCATCCAATATCAATCTGAATTGCGTCCAAATAGCCGATTAAAATAGGGTCTGGAAATTTGACATCTTAAAGTGCAGGGTAGTAAATTTTGATTGAAGCGTAGCAGTCATCATAATTTTTTTCCTTACCTTTAGTTTTATAACGGTGTTTCTGCCAGTATCCAACCAATTAAACTGGCCGAAGTAAAACTTACATGGACAATATGAGGAAACTTATGCAGAATGCATCAACACTTCGACACTATACTTACATGGACAATATGAGGAAACTTCTGCGGAATACATCAAAACTTCGATACTGTTCTATTTCGACCTCTCTTCTTTTACTCGCGCTAATCAAAAACATCTATTTTTCGCTAAAAAAAACCCCTCTCACTAGATACGATCGGTATATAAGACTTGAATATTCTACAAGATCTCAATTAGTTGTAAATATAGTAGGACTTTTGGTATGTTACGCTCTTAACTTCTTTTCCAGTGTTGCGCAACCCTCTTCGGAGATTGAATATTTTTCTGTACCTTGTTAGTGTTTTCCCGGACAGGGTTATTGGTGATATTTTAGTTTAGGTTATTTACTTTGTAATATTATAATCTGTAAACTTAGTTTGTACCGGTCAGGGCTTTAGATCGGCACATGCCTCATAAGTGATTAGATTCTGTAATTAAGGTTTAATGAATAAAAGAACAACGTCTCCCTCTGAACAGGGGGAGATACTGTTATTCGACCTTTAACTACAACCTACGGTGTGATATATAGTAGCAGGTTTCAAAAGAAGTGCGCGTGGATTATTAAGCCAGATACGACTCGCGGTGCTCACGGATTCGCATTATGAACAGGTGAAAAAGAGACTGCAATATTTGTGGTCGAAATACGTTGAATAGGGTTCATTTGATCGATATAATATTGTCTATTTAGTTTGTTTTTTTTTATAGAATCTGTAAGCTTGGTTTATCCAATCATCTTTATTGGTCGGAAAAGCTTACACAAGATTTGGTTCATTAATTGTTAATAGAGTTGTTAATAGAAGAACGACGGTTCCTCTTGTAAGAAGGTAGTACGTTTAGATACAGTTATCTTTCGTATACTAGGGTAGTAGTAGGGATCAGGCACTAAATTCATAGCTCTGGCTTTAGCTAACTTAAAGGACAGCTTAGGCACATGCACCCATATATTTCCAAGTATTACGTACATTCCTAGTAGGTCTCTCCGTCTGAAAGTTTTACTATCATACTGATAAACATTTTCAATATAGTCTCCTACAATATAACCTTTTAGCGAAGCGGCAAGGGACATGGAAGCGCCGTCAGAGGTATTTTGTTGCGATGGATGTATTACAGAAATGCAATGCAATTTTTCAATACGTGATTTCGAGGTGTGAATCACTGATGTACGGAAGACTGTTTTTTCTACTATCACTTCAATGCTCAGTACAGTTACCATGACGGTTGTCAGAGTCGTGGACATCTTTATATCCCAGTTGAATTTACTGTTGAATATGTGACTTGTGATTTGTAAAATTGGCGCGAGTTTAGTTGGTAAACACTAAACAACGTTAGCCTTATCTTGGTTGGCCGATGACTACTATTTCCTCGTCGAAGTCGGACAGTGCGGACCCTTTAATATTATGTACCAGATGTAATGGGTATGCGTCTCTCTCTTTTGCATACACGGAGAATAATGGTTCAACCACCGAGACTGCTGCCGCTGCTGCTCTTACGACTTTGAACCAAACAGGGTGCGCTGATCTCAACACGTGTTGTGTGTAATTTTCTTATATATAATGTACTACCTATGCCTATTCTTACACCGCCTAATTTCTTTATCGATAAGAGACTACAGGTCACAGGCCAGATTTTACAGCAAGAAACCTTTTATGATTTATAGAAGTCATCAGAGTTAGCTCACTCGCGAGAACTAATCAAGTTGCTTAGATTACTCCCGAGATTTGAGTCAATACTTAACCGACTCCCGAGAGCAGATTAGGTTTCTCTACCAACTCCCGAGAGTGAATTAAGTCTGCCAACCCCACCATTCTAAAAATAGCTGCCGTTCTATGCGAGTCACGACCTGTGCGGAAAGACATCGTGAGATCAGCGTGAGGTTTAATTGCAGAGAAGTCGAAATAGAATAGCATTGAAGTGTTAAAGTGTTCTGCAGAAGGTTTCTCATACTGACCACATGAATTTTTACTTTTGCCAGCCCAAGTGGCTGAACACTAGTACAAACATCTCGGGTATAAAACCAAAGGTGAGGTCAGAAATAAATACATATATTTGCACTTTATTTAAAGTCTACTACATTGCACTCTAACAATTGAAACTATTTCCTTTGTCCTTCTCCCGATAGGCTTCATTTACGGCTTATTGGCAAAAAGAATACAACTATCTGCTACTATGTAAATCAAGACCTCGCCAAACCGTACAGCTTGATTAATAAACGCACGGTCTGTTCCAGCACTACAGTTTGATGTTTGTCTTTCAATCTTGCAGCCATAAATGGTGCAACATTTGGTCAGGAGGTCATTAGATTTATTTTGATAAAATTTGTAAATTAGGTCTAGGGTTATTAAAGTATTTCTGATCAAATAAAACATATGGGTTTATAAACAAAGATATTCAATAAATAACCAACGACTAACCTCTGTAGAGGGGCGTGCGTTGAGACATAGTTATTGAAGCTGGTCGAATCCGCCCATGGCAATAAATGGAGGACGCATAGACAACCAGGTACAAGAGTCGTCAGATAGCGGGATATACAGCAGTGAATCGAGTATGCCATCACTGTTATCAAACAATAGTGACAGCGAGGGAGAAGTGGTGTCAGCAAGAGAAAGAAACGATTCGACACCTACGACGAAGCATGGAGGTACACGCAACCAAAACATTGATCAGAAGTAAGGTCTACGGTTGATACAAATGCAAAGAATAATACAAAGACAATGGTTAGCTTATGTTGGATGATGTGCAGACAGAGGATTGGCAACAAACGAGGGTACAAAATGACCAGCCGGACATGGGACAAGAAAGTCGACCAGAAATGGGAAGTAACATGAACGACGCAACGAGGTTGTTGACAAGGACAAATAACCCAAGTGAGAAAGGTCAGGAAGAGTTGAAGCAACGATAATTCACTCAAGCAGAATGATATCACATAATTTAAGCAAGAAGTAATAGGGTTGGTAAGCTGCGAAAAGTTTCGAATACATGGGACATGGAATTGGGGCGACATACAATGGAGTGACATATGATGACCATAGAAAAAGGAGCGTTAGCATTTTAGAACTAGCCGGTATAAGTATAAATGTTAAGTTGGAGCATATTAACAAGATAGAGAATGGGAGCATAACGTAATGTACATAATATTAGGGGTCCATATATACGTAAACACAAAAGAATATATGTACAAGAAACATAGACGTCCAGGAACAGCACATACATAGTAGGGCATAGATACAGGGCCCTTCGTGAATACTGTTAGAGAGAACATATATTCAAAGGATAGTTTGAAGAAGCGGATAAAGTGATAGAAAAATCTAGAATACTGTAGGTGTGATATGTAAGGTAACATAGAGGATAGCTACATGGAACTACAATGGTCATGGAGACTATCATCTATAAGGAATACAGATCGGATACACAAGATGAATGGAGCAGGTGAAGGGTAAGAACGGTGCAGGTTAGAAGAGCGGGCAAGCAAACATACTTGGGGCAGAGTGAGGGAGCATACGAGAGTAATTATTGGGGTGAGCATGAGAGTAGGCACGCAACATGAGAGTAAGCATACAGGCCGAGAGTAAGCACGAGGTACGCGAGTAAGCTCAGACGTCGGTGTAGGGTTGAACCTATCACAGAACGACACGAGACAAGTATGTGCACATAAGAACTGAATGGATGATGGTAACCTATACTGTACAAAGGTGGTTGTTATAATATGAGCAGCCACCAGCAAAGAGGGTCAACTTTACGATCACAGTTAAGCACATAACTGTAGGAACATAAGTAACCACAATGGCATCAATCCGCCAAAGTCAACATCAACAACAATTGGCGCTAGAGACACGGGAGCGTCAGGGCTTGGAGCCGCGAGGCACTCAACGTCAGGAACCGAACCAAGGTACGCCACATGAGACATCCATCGAGAGACTACAGGAGTAGTTATAAATACGTTAATAACATTTTCCGCCGTCAGCCGAGAGTAATTTGGGACTTGTTCCAAAATTAATATATGTTTTAGCCCGAACGTGAGAGTAATTTAAGACTTCTCACAATATTATATTTATAGGACACGGGCCACCGGCTAGCCGAGAGCCGAGGTCCGAGACTGAGAGTACGTAACAAAGTAGGTGAGATATTTTATTTTTAGAAAATATATCTGAGTACAAAAGTGTTCTGCATAAGGTTTCTCATACTGATCATATGAGGTTTTATCCCGACTAGCCCAAAAAAACTAGCACAACCACCTTCAGTATATAACTGAGCGTGTGATCATGAATAAATTCATTCGAACGCATCATTCTTTAGATACATTTGCACTCTATTTAAAGTCTACTAGTCTACTACATTGCACTCTAATAACTTTTGGTCCCCCACATTACACTCTAACATCCATAGCGCCAAGCACCTTGGGGATATCGAGAACCCATACGGGTGCTGAATTCCAAGGGAACAGGCAAATTCTATAACAGGCATTCTTGATTTGCCAGCGACAGTCGAGTGTGCTTTACTCACCGCCACAAGAGGGACAACCTCAAGGATTTCCGCAGACTACTAGGCAAGAGATGAGACAGGCAGCCGACCGGGGAGAGCCGGTGACAGCAAGTCCACTGAAACGCTCAAAGCAGCGTCGCTGACAGTTGAAACAAGACAAGGAACGACATCCAAAAACACAGCAGTTGATGAGAAAGCAGCAGGAGCTACATGTAAAATACGAGCAAATTTCGAGTCAGTTACAACAGCCAGAGTCGAGTCCAGGACAACAATCAGAGTCCCCCGAGAATGAAACGTTATCATTCAGGATTGCAGGCAAGGGTGCTGAATGTCACGAGATAGGATATCGATCCCCGACTGTTAGAGACTACAATAAGAATATTTCTTTGGTTTATAGGAGTCATCAGAGTAAGCTCACTAACGAGAGCTAATCAAGTTGCTTAGATTACTCCCGAGAGCTGAGTTAATACAAGAGCAGATTAAGTTTCTCAACCAACTCCCGAGAGTGGATTAAGCGGCTCTATGTGTGTCACAACCTATGCGGAAGGGTATCATGTAGTCAACGTGAAGTTTAGCTGCAGAGTAATCGAAATAGAATAGCATCGAAGTATTGAAGTGTTCTGCAGAAAGTTTCTCATACTGACCATATGAGGTTTTACTTTGGCCAACCCAAGTGGCTGAACACTAGCACAAACACCTTAAGTATAAAACCAAAAGTGAGGTCACAAATAAATACATACATACGCACTTTACCGCTGTTTATATATTTTATTCCAGAGCAGCAACGGGCTGAACAAGACCCTCATGGCCAGAAAGCGCTGGCGAATCGTCGGGAACGTTTGGGAGGAGCACTTCATACTCAGCGACAGAATAACCAGTTCATAAATGAAGCACTACATGATTCACCGAGTAGACAGACCTTAAAGGCGACAACGAGTAGTACCATGGCAACCCCACAACCAAAACCGAGACCATCTTTATCATTGCCGAGACCGGAGAGTATTTTGGCAGATCGTCAGGCAATACACGCTCGTATGTTACGTTATCTGAGAAGATGTATGGGGCAGCAGATGATAATGACTTATCAAGAGCAGAGGCTCTGAGGGGAGTATTAGATACCTTACGCGCCACGCATGAGTCGTGACCAGTCGGGAAGAAAAAACCCCGGGAACCTCAAAGTTGGCCGAAGTGGCCATGCAACAGGTATAACAACAATATACTGAAACGTCATACAGGGGACACTCAGAAGCTTGGATGAATGCACAGATATCTGGGTTGGACGAAGAACGAAGCTTACGGTGATTTTTTAAGGTGTTGAACCATTTCAAGGCGCAACAGTCAACACTTGACTATATAAGATCTAATCACAAAATATTGGTCGATTGAACATGAGACACAGGCGATGGTAGATCCGACATCCCGGAAACGAGCTAAAGGCCACATCAAGTTGATGAGTGTTTCTATTATCGATTAAATGACGTATCTTATAAAGAATCACCGACGAGTCCATGAACGCAGTCAGAATGATTCGGACATTAAGCAGAGTTGACTTGACCACTGTATTGTACAATTACTAAAGATAGTCTGGGGGCGCGTACATACGGATGCACAATACAGATACACACAAACTGGCACCTAATGAAGGCACCCGCCCTATTACAATTGCAAAGTCCAGATATACAAGAGACCCAGATCCATACGACGGCTCGCCTGACGAACAAACGAACGCAAGGGGACGGCGGACTGCGATCAGAACCTACGAACAGCCGACCTAACCCGCAGACTACTCATCGTCAACATCAAAATTGGCACCACAGACCGCAGATACCGTCATAGATCATATTATTTTTTGGATGTTAGGCACAAGCACCTCCAGGTTTGCGACATATATCACGATGTCACAACTACCGGAGCAGTAGCTAACCCCAAACATATGCGACGAACAATAGTACACGACCACCAGACCAGATGAGAGCACCGACGACTCAACGTGGGGGAGGAGGCCCACCAGCATCGGAAACAGCGGACATAGGGATAATATTGTTTATTTCCAAAATGGCAAGTATGTATGATACAATATATGAACATATGGTATGGCTCTCATAGTCGCTGTAGTGGTTCAGGAAAGATTGATGGGACTAGCGGATAGATCAATTGGCACGTCATCAGGAGGCCCATAGGTCAGTATGGTGTCCGAAGAAGAAAGCGTGGAAGCAATACCAAATGCTACGGAGGTATACATTAGTTCGATTCTCACTAGTAATTATAGGGCACAAGAGTCGTCAATTTCGAATGCTAACCAAGAATTATGGGCTGCGACAGAGCAACAGCTATACGACATCAGGGTGTCAGATGAGGATTTAACTTTGACGTTTATAGATTCTACTAACATGGTATTAGCAATCCGCGACCCATTGGCTAGTTCAGATAACAGGGTCTACATTAAACTACAGTTGAATGGGCGTACGTTCCGGGCACTGGTTGATACCGGTGTGAACAGAAGTTGTATCTCGACGACATCCGCAGACATACTTAACCAACCAATCACTTCAGCACCACAAGAATCGTACTTATAATTGGCCGACAAGGCGGTGAGTACTCTGCAACTGAAGATGACGGAGGTACTACCGATTTGATACGGCACTAAGATCACGAAGGGGTCATTAGAGCTAATGAACCTACCAGATGGACTCGATATGATACTAGGACTAGATATTGTGCCAGGGCTAGGTTATTTCTGGGACGAATTCAGTCCCCGCTGATGCCCATCGACCCCACGAAACTGGACTTGTTGACATCACTACCACGCCGGCAAGCCCCGAATACCACAGAGCCTACAGGGGTACGGGATCTGCTACGGAAAGAACTAGACGACAACGCGGTAATTGCGGATAATGCTCGCTGCCGCCTAGAAGGAAGCAAGGTGGCTATACTGGTTACGAGACCAAGCTATGAGTATGAAACGATCAATACGCAAACTTGCATCTGATAGATGACTCCCATATGTCGAGGAGCAGGTTCAGAAGTGGTTACGGGACTCAGTGATTGTCAAACGAACTACACGTACGACAGTGGATCTTCCATTATTGGCGGTACCCACTTTCGATAGCGAGGGGCGAGTGAAGAAGGTACGAGTTTGCATGGACCAATATGCGAGCAGCGAATGCCCTCATTCCAGATGATCAATTTCTGGTTCCCAAAATTAACGAGATTATTTCACGACTCAATAGTCGCAGGTACTATATACGACACTGGACATATCGGCCGCCTATCGCCGGCTACCTATACATCCCGACTCACCGTATCTGTTTAGCTTCACTCATGATCGCTATCAATACTTGTTACCTCGGCACTTTTTGGGCTACATGTGCTGACTCAACTGGTTCAGAGAACCCTCAGCACAATTCTGGACGGTCTGCC